AGCTACTCGGGAGGCTGAGGCAGGAGGATCGCTTGAGCCCAGGAGTTTGAGGTTGCTGTGAGCTAGGATGACGCCATGGCACTCTACCCCAGGCAACACAGTGAGACTCTGTCTCAAAAAAAAAAAAACTATAACCACTTAGAAAACTGTGTATGACTCATGAAGTTTTGATCACATCTCTCTTTATTACTTTCTTTTCCTCCTGCTGCCTTTTTTCCCTTCCCTTAGATCATCATTATTATTCCATTGGGGGAAATCTAGACATTGTTTGAATTTTTCCCTGAGGGATTTATTCCCCTCACTAGGCTTCTAAATTTATTAAATGCCTCCATCTCTTCTTCCTTTTCAGCTCTCTGGGCTGAAGGGGTAAGAAGAGAATACTTTTTTCTTAAACTTGGTTAATGTTTTACTCCCTTTGACATGTTTAAACTTTACTTTTTACATGCTGGTCTTTTCATTTCTATTTTTACTGTAGGCTTCCTTTAACAGAATGGGAATGTGTTACACATGCCTATCTCACAAATCAGTTTTTTTCTGCCAAAAAATAAGGAGCAATCAGGATGGAGATTTGTGGGCCAATCAGAGGGGATCGTTTCTGGGGATGGTGGTGTGGTGTTGTGTGGTGTGCAAGAGTGGTGGGGGAGTAAAATCATTCCTTAGCTCAGTTCTGAACTTACAACTATAGTAGAGTGAAAAGTGGGAAAGACTTAGTTGTAAATTCTGTCATACTGGCCTGCCAGAAAAGGTCTCTGTTAACTAACACCTCTTTCAAAATAACATTGTATATGTTCTAAAGAGACTGTTGTTAAGTCAAAGAAATGGAGAAATCATCTGTCTGTCTTTCTTAACTGCTTTCTTCAGGATGATGCCCGGCAATTATTTGTTTTAGCTGGCAGTGCTGAAGAAGGAATCATGACTCCAGAACTAGCGGGAGTGATTAAACGGTTATGGCGAGATGGTGGGGTGCAGGCTTGCTTCAGCAGATCCAGGGAATATCAACTCAATGATTCTGCTTCATAGTAAGTAATTTTTCTCTGTGAAACTATAACAGAGAATAATTTGGTGACCCTAGAGAAAGTTCAGTGCCCATTCTTAAGGAAATGTTTAAGTAATAGATGCTCTTAGAAGGATCTATGGATCTATGGATCCTTTATAAAGATTGTCTCAGTGTAGGATTATAGAACCCTTGGTCATTTGTATGACTTGCAGAAAAAAATTCCCTCTTGGAATGTAAATGGGAGACTTGGCACCATAAAATAAGTTCCATGACATGTTTATAATAAGCAGGTGAAGGAGGAGAGATATCTGTTGTAGCCAGGTTCTGGATCTCTTCCAATTCATAAGTTCTCTCTGCATATGGGCTTGGCACCAATAGCCAGCTGGAGAGGGAAATTAGAATTGTGATATCCCTTTTTATGTTGCCAACTATCTGTGTCTGGGCTGTGCTATGGATTTCTCTGGACTAGGCACCACTTACACATCTTTCGCCAGATCACATTAGACTTTGTATAGAAAGAGAATGTTGAATGAATTTGAAGCATGGTTTTGTCAAGGAAATTCTCTTGGTTATTGCATAGTTTTAGAGAATCTGTAATTAATACTTGTGTTAAGTTATTTTATGTGATCCTGTTTGTCTCTTTTACATATATTTATAAGACCTATATTTGGAATGTATTTTTTTTCAATGTACTTTTTGGGAGCTTGGGGATCTCTCTGTGCTAGATGAGGGCACTTTTAAGCATTAGGGTATTTTCTCCAATATTATTATTTTCCTACATTTACCATCCTCATTCTAGCTTAAATTATTATAAGAAGAAATTAAGTGATATACTCTTGCATTGCTTAACGACAGTGATGTTCTAAAAAGTGCATTGTTAGGTGATTTTGTCATGTGAACATCATAGAGTGTACGCACACAAAGGCTAGATGGTATAGCCTACTACATACCTAGGCTATTGCTCCTATGCTACAACCTGTATAGCGTGTTACTGTCCTGAATATTGTAGATGACTGTAACACAGTGGTAAGTATTTGTGTATCTAAACATAGAAAAGGTAATGCGCTGCACTACAATGTTACAATGGCTGTGACATCACTAGGGGATAGGAGTTTTTCAGTTCTATTATAATCTTAGGGGACCAGTATCATATGTATATGTGGTCTGTTGTTGACCAAAAACATCATTACATGGCATATGACTGTATTTGAAAAACTTGTTTATTCTTTCAATGAAAACTTGGCTTTAGAAACACTTGAGGCTTTTTTTGAGAGACAGAGTATCACTATGTTGCCCGGGACTCAAACCACTGGGCTCAAGTGATCCTCCTGCCTCAGCCTGCGGAGTAGCTGGGGCTACTGATGCACAGCACCACACCAATTTCGGGATTCTTGCCTACCTTTCAGTAACATTTTTTAGTTACAGATACTGATAGCTTAAATAATTCTCCTACTGGTCATCAAAGGTAGATTGTCATTGCTTTTTTTCATCATACGTTCAGTATGCTCTGAATCCTGTAACCACATGTGATTTATAGAGTTGGTTTTGGTTTTTTTTTTCCCCCATAATTGTCGATCTAAGTTTGACTCCTAAACATTAATGATATTAATAATACTTGGTTTTATAGATCATTAATTATTCACTTATATTGGTACCACCTGCTGTTCAGTTTTCTAGCCTGGAATCTGGGGATAATTTAGCTTTGAAGCAGTGTTTTAATTATTTCACTGAGCAAATGAAATTTGGCGGGGGGGGGGGATTTATATTTGTTTTTGGCTTAGATTAAAAGAACCCCAAAATCTCCAGCTCTTCTGTTTCTTGAAAGAAAACAAGAAATATTCTTAC